TCCTGGAATGACAAGACTTTCGATTATTTCAATAAACCTGGTGGTCCACTCGAGACGGCTAAAGTGGTACTCTTTGTCGAGACTCATCTTCGGAATGCCAAGCTTATTCAAACATCGAAGCACGCGGCGAAGCTTGGCTGGAAAACCAACGCTACTCCTGCGGTGGACACGGCAGGAGGCGGCATTCAAGGACATGGAGGCATTGCAATTCTTACAAGGAAGCATCTTTGGCATGATCCGCTCATCTTGAAGGACCGCCTAAGCATCACAGAACAGACTGGGATCAATCAGATTAGTCAATGGTGCGCGACAACGGTCAGGATGCAGCGGGTGGACATCATTTTCGTCGCCGTTTATTTGGCCCCACATCTTGGGATTTCAGGATCTAACTTTCAGATTCTAGATGAGGTTGGCAACTATCTCAAAGTTCAAGGTAAGCCTTACATTATTGTTGGAGATTGGAACAACACTATCGCTGAAATGCAACAATCAGGGCTTCAGGTATTCCTCAGAGGAGGATGGAAAGGACCCCAGGAAGCAGTACCAGGTGGACACAGGCTCATTGATTTTTGCCTAGTAAGTCACCACCTACACAATCTAGTGGACCTCACATGGGACAGTGAAGGGCCATGGGGGGCACCGCATTCAGGTATTCGGCTCAAGCTCAGAGTTGGCGAGTTCACCATGCCCAAGCGTGTGTTCAGTCCTTGCCTTGCCATCGACATGAGTTTGCCTGGACCAGACTTACCTTGGGAATGGCATGCAGTCAGAGTTGAGCCGCAGATCCAAGAAGGCATGGACAAACTTCAGGCGAATATCCACTCCATGGGTGAAAGGCACTGCAGTGGCAAGCCTAACAACGATTTGGCCCAGCAGTACATGAAGTTCGCATTGGCAGCAGAAAGCTTTTGCACGCACAGGAATCCCGATCTGGACTTCAACGACAGCGAGCAGCACCGAGGCTGGGCAGTGGAAGTTGTGGAAGTTCCTGTGGTTCCTACTACGGCGATGGGGTGGCAAGCGGAATATAGTGGCCTGAGTGCTTGGGCAGCGCTCTACGCTCGAGCAGCAGACTGGCTACACTTGCGGGAGAAGCTGAAGCACCCAGAGGAGATCGAGAAGGCCTGGCAGGCAGTAGAGTCCTGTTTAGCCAAAGTCTGGTCTCTTACCAGATTTTTGTCCAATGAGAGAGAAGAAAGAACGCTTCGCCTGACCGCTCAGCTTGCCACTTTCAAGCAAATAGATCGATGCAAGAGAGAGCTCAAAAATCTCGGTCGCACGGTGAAAAATGTTGAGCTCTACCTTGTTAGATCCAAGCAGAAGAGTTTTAAAGACTGGGTTCGCACTTCTTTAAGCAAAGGCGCTGGCGCGCTCCATGCTTGGACAAAATCGTGGGGAGAGGAAATCCCCGACCTCGCCCCTGAGAAGCGCCCCGATGGTAGCACCATAAGGGGCCCCATTGAGGCCATCGACCAGAAGGCTCAGTTTTGGGAGTCCCTGTGGTGCTCGGAGGCTTTTGAAGGTCCCGCTGGGTGGTGGGAGGACTTCGTTCGGGAGGCCAGTAGGGAGCCTCTGGATGAACTCACCATGCAGCAGCTTTTAGGAGCCCTGAAGTCTTTCAAAGGAGTCGTAGGAGTCGGGGCTGATCAGCAGAACCCGACTTGGTGGCGCCGTCTTCCGAAAGAAGGTCTGGAGGATCTTCTAGCACTTCTCCAATCAGTCGAGAGAGCAGGCACTTGGCCACCTCAGATCTTCCTCAACATAGTTCAACTAATCCACAAGAGTCAGGTGGCTGATCGGCCAATCACCCTGACTCAGGGCCTGTATCGGACGTGGGGGAGGTCTCGGAGGTGGGAGATTGCTGATTGGAGCGCCCAGCGGACCCAGCACTGGGACAATGTGGTCAAGGGCAGCTCCTCTCTGCGAGCGGCCCTCATCCGTCAATGTAAACTAGAAATGGCCACGTCCCAAGGTTTTGCCTGGGCTGAGGTCCTCTGGGACGTCGACAAGTTTTACGATCACGTTCGGCTTTTTCAGGTGGCCAATGTGGCCAAAGGGGTTGGCTATCCCCTCCCAGTGCTTGCGCTCGGCTTAGCCATCCACCGGGGGCCGAGGAGGCTGCGTGCTGAAGGGGTGGTTTCAAAACTGATTTGTCCCGACCGCTCCCTGATTGCAGGATGCAATCAAAGTGTAGATCTTGCCAAGCTTTCACTGTGGCAGGTGCTCGAATCGATGCATGCAGACTATCGACCTCTGGATCTCTCCACGTGGGTGGACGACTTGGGACAAGTCGAAATTGGCCGAGAAGCCGACGTCATCACACGTACGAAGTCAATCTCAATTTCTTTAGCAGCACGTCTTGGTAGGGCTGGTTTTAAGGTGTCTGACAAGTCGGCGATCCTCACCTACCCCCCTCGCCTCGCGAAGGAGATCTCGAGGGCTCTTGCTGACGCTGGAGTGCCCCTCAAGTGCCCAACGCATGTTCGGGACCTGGGGATTGACGGCCACACGGCCAGGCGTTCCACTGCGGTCATCAAAGATCGCCTTGCCAAGGGACAAAAGCGTGCTGTCCAGATCACCAAGCTAGTCAAATCTGCGCCCCAAGCTCGAGTCCTCGCTAAGACGGGGTACCGTCCAGCAGTGACGTATGGGCAGATGGCCCAAGGCCTCAGTCCGACAACTCTTTTAAAGCTTCGAACTTCGGTGGCAGCCCTCTCTGGTTACAAGAAGCCAGGAGGATGCCCAACCACTTGCATAAGACTAGGGTTCACTGAAGCTGATGATCCAATGATCCATGGGCGGATGCAGATTTTCGCTTCATGGCTGGAAATTTTATCTCACATGCCTGAGAAGATGCGAGCCATCGAGATCGTCTGGCGCAAAACAGTTGCTCACTTGCAGGAAGGTGTCAGACCCTGGGCTCGTGTCAAAGGCCTTATTAGCGCTGTCGTGGCCAGTCTGCTTGACCTCCACTGGGAACCCTTAGGACCTGTTGCCTGGAGGACGCCCAGAGGTGAAGTCTTGAACATACTTGAGCTCGACAGGGATCATCTTCTCAATTTTGAAATTAAGCAGGCACTAGACCATGAGTGTTGGATTCGTGCCGCTGATTCTCATGTTTACGGTAGAGGGGCCCAGGATGGAGTAGACCTCACCATTTTGAAGAGACACCTCAACAAGCTAGCCAGAAAGAAAGCGTACGACAGAGCGGAGGTGCTCCGCATGATTGCAACAGGAGCCTTGTGGCCAGCAGCTAGGAGATTCGGTAGTGAAAGCCGCGGGGGCATTAAGATTGATCCTCCTGCTGTGCTGCCTGCTGCTGCGGCCTCCGAGCCTGCTGCTGCTAGTGCTTCCTCTCCCTCCAATGTCCCTCCTCAGCCCCCGCAGGCCGCTACCTCTTTGGACGACCCCGAAGGGGACCTCTTGGAGGAGGAGGAGTTCCCGTCGGATGTGGGGGAGGGGGAACCACCTGAAGAGCCGGCCGAGCAGGCCACGAGTCAAGAGCCAGCGAGTGTCGCGGCTTGGAATTCTTCGCTGTGCCCCCGATGCCACGAGTGCGAGGAAACGCTTTTCCACCAAATCTGGGATTGCAAGTGCAATTCTGAGCTCCCACAAGAGGAGCTACACTGGGAACACTTGTCTCAGGCGCGCCAGGAGTGGAAAGATGAGCCATGCTTCTGGCTTAGGGGCCTCGCGCCCTTAGCCTGGACTTTCAACATTAGGCATTTGGAGATCCAAGGGGTAGAAACCCTTTCCCCTGAGCTTCAAGGCGAGAAGTTAGTCCTTCCCCCAGGAGCCTACCTTGGAGGAGATGGGTCTGGTGGCCTGTTCTCTGCGGACCCTAGGATCAGGCGGTGTGGCTGGGGAGGAGATATTTTCTGCAACGGAGAACTCCTGGCCTGGGCCAAAGGGCCCCTTCCCACGTTCAAGCAAACTGTGCCTCTTGCGGAGTTATGGGCCTGCTACAGGATGGCCCAACTAACTGCAGGTGATTTAGTCTTTATAGGAGACAATGATTCGGTGGTGAGCGGGATTAATTCGGGCCCCCGTTTCCGCCACACGGAAAATTCTACTTTTTGGGACCTGCTCTGGCAGGAATGCGAGGGTAGGCGAGTGCTGGCGATTAAAATCAAGTCGCATGAGTCGGCCTCAGATGCAGTCCTGGTCAGAAGGAGCAGGCTTGAGCATTGGGTTGCCAACTTTGTTGCAGACAAGCTTGCGGATCAAGCCGCCAAGGAGGCTCAATTGCCCCGCTGGGCGACCGATGAAGTAGAACGCATTGACAAGCTCAGCAGAGAGGTCCAGGAGCATATCCTTACTATTTCGCATTTCATTGCTGTGAATTCCTCTCAGATCTACGGAGCCAGTAATGCCGAAGATCGCAAGCGAGAGAGTAAGAGGCGTAGGAAGGCCAAGCAGTCGGAGATTGCGGCCCTCACAGCGTCCACTTCTCATTGCCTCGTCGAGAGTCCTGGCAAGCCGTTGAAGTGTTCCAAATGCCTCACGTCCCCGACGGGGACTGCGGAGAGTTGGCTCCGCATGGAGTGCCCTGGACTTCCTGCGAAGATTCACTTCTCCCACCGCCATCTCCAGAGGTTTCGTGGAGTCTTCTGGTGCAGGGATTGTGGGAGCTATGCCGCCACAACTTTCAACAAGCTTTCCAAAGAGTGCTCGGGGATTGTCTCGAAGCACGGAGGGAAGATTTTGCGTGCTCTTGAGGCGGGAAAGCTCCCGAGGGACATCATGGCCTGGCCCGAGCCTGAACCCTCTTTGGAGCTCCCGCCCCCAATCGCTTTTTTTCTGAAGGGAGGGGGCCCTGTCGCGGCTCACTGACTGGGTGGATCGCAGCCCAGTCGGTGAGTGACAAATTCGGATGGGCCCCCCCCCGAACTTTTATACTAGGGGCTCCGCCATGTGGACTCCGCCCCTCAGGTAGGTAAGAGGTAAGAGGAGGAGGAGGAGGAGGAGGAGGAGGAGGAGGAGGAGGAGGAGGAGGAGGA